TTTCCTCGATCGACGATCACTTGACCGTGAACGTTTCGTCGGTGTCACACTGCTGTCGCAAGCGTAAAGTTGCTCGTCGATCGTTGAAATTTTTCGTCAAGCTCGAACGAGTCAGATCGTTTACTTCGGGGATCAACGCGGTACCGGACAACGTCGGTTTAAAGAAAAAAATGAAGCAAAAGGAAAAAGTAAAGGCGAAAAGGAGAGAAAGAAAGAAAGAGAAATGGAGAGGCCGGCGGAGAGGAAGAAAGGAAGAACATTAGCGAGTTGTGACCAACACAGACACGAAATAGCTAGTAATTTATGGGTGAGACTAATTACCGGGGAATGCCGCTTCTCCGACTCTTCTTTGCTCCTAAGACCGCGCGTTTCTACCAGACCAGTTTTCAGAGGCGAGTGGAGTTTCTCTTAGCCCTTAACCTTCTCGTCTCCGTTCCTCGTCGTTCGCCCGCTTTACTTTTTTCGCCTTTTTCGCCCTCTTTTTCCATCTTCTCTGGCTCGCGACCGCGGTTTAAACGTTAATTCGCGCGGACATGTCGTCGGAGGAAGACGTCGATTCAATGGTCGACTTTATCATGATCGATCTCGCTAGCGATCTTACTTCGTAGAGGTCTCTCTTGCAGAGAGTTTCTTGAACGATAACGTTTGAGCTGGAATAAAAAAAAAAACGAAACTAACAGAAGAGAAAGATGAGTATTTTCGAAAAAGAAGAAAAATATCGGGCGAGGGTGCTCCTCCGGAGGATAATGGGGAAGGAGGAAAAAAAAACAGGCGTGTTCCCACGAGCCATCAGCACGAAGGAGGGTGTCGGAACAATACCAGACCCGTCCTCGGCCCGTCGTTTCGACATTAGCCTGACCTAACAATTTGGAGCAAGCTCACTGCCCCCGCTACCACGATTCCTCTTCGTTAAATGCCATTATACGTTTCACTCGGACACCCGGTCGTCGCATGAGTCGTGAATTCCTGAGAACCTGCTCGAACCACGACGGAGCAGGCAGCAGCGTGCCGGTGGCGGCCACCGGTGCCGCTCGAAACCGATTCAGGCGAATCGTAGTGCCGCAGCCATGAACAGATTCCTCTATTATGACGAGAACGAATCGAGAGAAAAAAAGGATCGCCCGCGCGTGACGAACGTGCTTTGATAGAGCCGTACGCGCGTCTCCATTCCTTTACAGCGTCGTCCAGCCTCGAGTACGATCGTGTCGACGATCGGCGATCGCGCGCGAAAATACCGAGCAAGTAGAAGAAGAATGTCGCGAAGACATTCCGACGAGAAACGAAGTCTCGAAATCCCGTGAGTATCCCCCAAGTTTGAAATCGATTCTAACGAAGCGTAAGAAGAAGAAGAAGAAGAA